AACTTCAATATACTCTTGGCAAAAACAAATAGCCAAGAGTCTTTCTTTGCTAGATGACTGAGTGGGACAGTTGACATAGATGCTCATATATTTGATAGAAACATGCTTTCAAAAACATCAATACAAGAAGTCACAGACAATAATTCTAGTGGCAATCATTAATTTTATGCAGAGCTTAATTTTTTTATACTTTTTATACTTAATTTTTTTATACTTTTTTATACTTTTTATAAACTTAGAAGTTCAGAACAGTTGGTCTTACTAACTGAATGCATGACTCTAATGGATTGTGCAGCTGTTTCATTATAATTGTTTATTTATTACTTTACCTTCCCTCTCTAGATCATTGAGAAAGAATCTGCTGAGGTTGAAGCAAAAAGCAAAACTGTAAAAGTAGACGAGGAGCTTGCTACAGAAAAGGCAGCCGAAGCCCAGGCACTGAAAAATGAATGTGAGAGTGACCTTGCCGAAGCAATTCCAGCACTAGAGGCAGCATTGGCTGCACTTGACACCCTGAAGGCAAGTTAATGACAGTAAGAGTTTATGAAAGAACCCTAAATAGAGAGACTTGGTTGGAATAGCATTCTTTTGATCATTGTTTGATTGAAGGAGTATTCCATCCCTTACTCCATCCAGAAGATCAAAGTTTAGTCCTTGATCTTTTTCAAATAAGAACAGGTAGCATATCTGTTTAAATATGTAACATTTTGGAAACTACAACTCGATAATATATCATATTTTAGCCTGCAGATATTACAATTGTAAAATCAATGAAGAATCCACCTTCTGGAGTTAAACTGGTTATGGCTGCCATTTGTGTCATGAAGGATATCAAACCAGAAAAAATTGCTGATCCTTCTGGAATTGGAGGCAAGGTAAAGTAATTGAAGCAAAGCAAAATGCTTTTAGTGGCAAAACTCATTTTAATAAACAGGAAACATATACCTAGAGCTAAATAAAATAAAACTGCGGGCATGGTAAAGTTGATTTATCAATACTTCATCTTCATGAAAATTGTCTTAGTTTTCATCGTGAAATGAGAAAGTGCAGAGAACAGTAAATTGGATTATTGGTTCCATAAATACACTGTTAGCAAAGCATTTCTATCTTGATAGGAAGAATGGCTAGGAATGTGGAAGTGGAGTTTATAAGAAGACTCAGAAAATAAGATTATCATTTGCTTGACAGTTGAAATTTATATAACAGACTAATGGATTTTTCAGTTTTTTAATTCAATATTTTGGTTCCCTGTTTTTCACTAAAATGTGGATTTTTCCTTTATCATCTATTTTTACACCGCTATTAGAAACAAACTACTGCTTTATTTCATATGTTAATAGTTTACATGGGAGGATTATAACGACGAAGCTCAACATTTTTCAAACATGTAAGACCGATCCATTTTCATACATATAGTGTGCAGAGAGTTGGGTTGTGTAGAGCTTTGGAGTTAAAGACATATATCTTCAAATCCATAAGATGCCTCTTATGTAGCATCTCTCAGCAATCCTTAAAGCAGCGCTGTTGTTTCCTAGAAACCACTGCTGCCACAAACATGAGAAAGTGATGTTTGCTCAAGAACTTGCCCACAGGTGTTAGCTGTGTGCCCATGTGTACGCTAAAGAACCTTTTTCTCTTTGAGTCTGAAGTGTAAATTCAGTCTTTGCTATATATAGCCAGTGATAGTTGTTTTATTCTATACAAATTATTTTCTGCGTCCTCTTATTAAATATCCTTCAAATTATACATTCATTAGAAAACCCTCTGCATTTTCCCACTTTCTCATTGCCTTTAAAACTATTTAATATAATTCTTTAACTTTCTTTTAGATTTTAGACTACTGGGGACCTAGCAAAAAACTATTAGGTGAAATGAATTTCCTTAGAGATTTGAGAGAATATGACAAAGATAACATTCCAGTAAGTCTTTGTATATTTCAAAAATAATAAATTGTGATTCAATTAGAGTGAACACAATAGACTCTGTCTCTTGTCTCGTCTTTAAAAGCCAGCATTTTTTTAAAATGGAAGAATGACATTCACATGTCAGTCATGTGAGAATAATAATTGTAAGCCCTTTCTTATTTCCATCTAGCTAGGGCACAAACAAGCCCCAGCCACTTTTTTTTTAACCACATGCTCATGATCTTGCCTTGTTTTCACGCCTGGTTCATATCTGGGCGTAGCTTAAAGTCATTGCTACATGTTCTACCCTTTAAGTAATGTGTTCTCATTTAAGCAGGCAGCAAGCTATAATAATTTTTGTGGCTGCAGTGATTCTTCACTGACCATTTAGTCTCTGGTGCAGACAGATGACTCCTAGGGATGGATTAGCCCAGCATCTATTGGCACTTTAAACTGATGTTGGCCTCTGTCCTTCCATTCAGTTCTTGGGCATTGTTTCCAACATTATGGTTTGGGGAGCAAATGAGGCTAGTTCTTTCTGAACTGATCTGTTGATATTAGCAGATTGTTAGACTTCTTTTGAGCATGGTTTAGGACAATTTCAGAATAGGGCAAAAACACTGCCCAGAAGATAATAATAATAATAATAATAATAATAATAATAATAATAATAATAATAATAATAATAATAATAATAATAATAATAATAATAATAATAATAATAATAATAATAATAAAGTTGGAAGGGACCTTGGAGGTCATCTAGTCCAACCCCCTGCTTAGGCAGGAAACCCTATACCATTTCAGACAAATGGCTGTCCAGTCTCTTCNCAAAAATATAAACCCCAATAAAAACCGAATTAAAAACCAAATATTGACGGCTGTGTTTCCAATTAAAATTGCTGTTAAAACCATCCCTACCTAAAATCCTCCCTAGGTCAGGCCCGCTTGCTGGAAAAGCCATGTCTTGAGGGCGCGGCGGAAAGTAAGGAGATCCGGAATCATCCGGATCTCGGGGGGCAGTTCGTTCTTGAAAACTTCCAGTGTTGGAGCATTCACTGCTTCTGGAGGCAGGTTGTTCCACTGGTTAATTGTTCTAACTGTCAGGAAGTTTCTCCTTAGTTCTAGGTTGCTTCTCTCCTTGTTGATAGTCTCCTATTGAACACATCTGTGCAAATTATCTTATGCCAAACCAGAGCCATCTGTCATCTGTCAGAACTTGTTTTCCTATCAGCTGATGACAGGAGAGGAGAGAAACAAACCAGGGGAATCCATCAATCTCTGTCATACAGTAAATATGCTCAGGCAAGATAGGGATTACAGGCAGAGAGAGCAAATTGTAGCTTGATTATAAAAGCTACCCAGTAATACATGATTAATAATAGTCAAATGATTTAGAGAATTGTTAACTGCTGAATCCTGTATTTCAGATGTAAGTAATGTGTGTTTCATATAGGTATCAGTGATGCAGAAGATTCGTTCGGAATATCTAACTAATCCTGAATTTGATCCTCCCAAAGTGGCTAAAGCATCTTCTGCAGCAGAAGGGTTATGTAAATGGATTATGGCAATGGAGGTTTATGACCGAGTAGCAAAGGTATTATTAAGGTTTTTTTTCTTTTTATGTTGAAAATATGATTGCTCCCAGTCAGATTCCCTTGCATCACATATACAATTTTTGGATGTACACTGCTTTTGAATATGGAAGTCCAGTATATCATACTATAATTACTATAATTATTACATTAGTTTAGCATAAGATATGTAGTATAAACCTCTAGTCCATAATTCTGCCAATCATTTTAATCATAGACTAGTAACACTGTAATAGAGTGAAGATCCCTGAAAAAAATATGTGTGTACGAATCAGCAGTAAGAAATCTCATGGTAATGTCTTAACAGGAGAATAGCCTTCTGCAGCAATCTATCCGAACAGTACAGTGTTAGAAAATAATTCTACATTGCAAATAAGAAAAGATCTAGAAGGAAGTACTTAATATTAATAAGAATAGAACTGGAAGGGACCTTGGAGGTCTTCTAGTCCAACCCCCTACTCAAGCAAGAGACCCTATACCATTTCAGACAGGTGGCTGTCCAGTCTTTTCTTAAAAATTTCCAGTGATGAAGCATCTACAACTTTTAAAGGCAAGCTGTTCCACTGATTAATTGTTCTCATTATTAGGAAGTTTCTCCTTAATTCAAATTCTCTATTTGATTAGTTTCCATCCATTGTTTCTTGTCTTGCCTTCTGGTGCTTTGGAAAATAAGTTGATCCCCTCTGGCAGCCTGTCAAATACGGGAATACTGCTATCATGTCACCCCTAGACCTTCTTTTCTCTAGATTAGCCATACCCAACTCCTGCATCCATTCTTCATATATATTTTACTCTCCAGGCCCTTAATCATCTTAGTTGTTCTTCTTTGTACTTTTTCCAAAATCTCAACATATTTTTTGTAACTTGGTGACCAAAACTGGATGCAGTATTCCAGGTGTAGTCTTGCTAAGGATTTATAAAGCAGTACTAATACTTCACATGATTTTGATTCTATGCCTCTATTTATAGAACCAAGAATTGTATTATCTTTTTTGGCTGCTGCCGCACACTATTGGCTCATGTTTAAGTGATCATCTACTAGGACTCCAAGGTCCCTCTCACAGTTAAGGTTTTTGAGCCATGTTTCACCTAATTTGGACTTGTACCTTTGGTTAATTTCTGCCTAGGTGTAAAACCTTGCTTTTCTCCACATTAAATTTCATGTTGTTGGATAGGACCCATTTTTGGATCCTGAGCTTGTCTTCTGGGGTGTTGGCTATTCCCGCCAGCTTAGTGTCATCTGCAAATTTGATGAGTTCCCCTTCTATTCCCTCATCTAAGTCATTTATGAAGGTATTGAAAAGTACTGAGCCTATGATGGAATCTTGTAGTAGCCCACTGCTTACTTCCCTCCATGTAGATATATGTATGTGAATCAACATATATACAGTATGTGAACCAACAGCCAAGTTGCCAAACACATTTGATTCCAAGTGTCTATTGTGTTAAGTCATTTGTATTCTGATTCCATTTAGCTATTGCTAGAACTGTGGCAATGACATTTTGCTTTAATTGAAAGTTCTCAGTCATTTTCAAGATCAACTCAAGATCCAAATGGGAGGTTGCTGAAGAATGGAACAATTTGACCTAAGTGTACTGAAGAATAGGCAATCTTGTCATATTTAATTATTTTAAAAGTTCTTTCGTTTTTGTTTTTGAAATCATAATTATTATAGAATATAACAATCTAAATTTATTAAATAGGTGGTTGCTCCAAAGAAAGCCCGCTTAGCAGAAGCCCAGCAGTCATTAGCACAGACTATGGCATTATTAAATAAGAAGAGAGCTGAGCTTAAAGCTGTTGAAGATCGTTTGGAAGCATTGCAAGAAACCTTCATTGAGAAAACTGAAGAAAAAGCCCGCTTAGAATTCCAAGTGGATCTGTGCGCTAAAAAGCTAGAAAGAGCAGAAAAGCTGATTGGAGGACTTGGCGGAGAAAAATCAAGGTCAGAGAAAATACTTTGTACTCATTTTAGCAAAACCATTATAAGGAAGAGAATACACACTTTTCAGCGATACTTAAGTGTAAACAACATTAAAGAGTTTCCATACTATTTACTACTTTTTAAAAACTTTTTTACAACCTGAAAAAATGATAAAATTACAAGTTATTGATAAATCGTTTGTTTTAAATTGATTTTGTGCTGCTATATGGGGCTATTTTCATGTCTTATGATATCTACATAATAAAAGGTTTATTTTGAGCTCTAGTTGTTTTATTTCTTTTTTGTATATTCCAGACAGACTCTCATTGTTTAACATATAAAATCTATAAAATAATAACATTCCTTCTGCAAAGGAAATATAACATGTCCTTTTCCTTTTTTTGTAATATATTTTATTGATTTTTTAAAAACATAAATCACTTAATAATTGGTGAACAGTGTGTTGTCTGGGTTACATTTGTAAAACAATCACTAACAATTGATTTCTATAATCCATAATCCACATAATAGTTTTAGTTGATTTCCTCTTTTCCCAAAATATCCTCTTTTGCAAACATTGAGTTAATACAATTCTTATTGTTTTGATAGATAACAATTAAATATATATTTTTTCCCAATAGTCCTAAAAATAATAATCACATCAATATAATATTTCTTTTCTATCCAATCATTCTGGTTGCCTTATCATAGATCCTGTTACAGTCCTTATTTTAATTTGTTTCTCCCACCAAATTCTAGATATCCTTACTGCTTAAGATTTTCTCAAAAATTAATTACATTTAAGAATTTAACTTTATTTTTCCATACAAACCATCTCATACTTTTACATTCTTAAGAAATAGATAAAACAGTAGAAAAAAAGGAAGAAAAGCAAGAGTAAAGAAGCATAAAAATAATATACTTCTTAAAATATATATCCTTCCTGAGCTAATATGTATTTATTTCCCAAATTTCTTATTCTTTTTAACCATAATTAAAAATATGTTTAATCTTCAAACATTCCATTTAATACATCTAGTCATCTAGTCCTTTAACTCTTATTCAAAACAGTTTTTTATCCATTATAATTTTCTTAAATTCAATCACATTTAAATATCTAAAACATTTCCTTTATCTAAATCATTTCAACTTTTTTATATTACTCATATCAAGAAAGAGAACAAAAAAGGGGAAAAAAGCATATTGTATTATATTTAGAGAATTCATCCCTCTTAGAGTGACATATATATTCCAAAACTTTTCTATTTCTTTAACCATATTCAAACAAATGTTTCTTTTTTAAGTATTCTCTCTGGTAAGTCCCATCATCTATTTTCTTAGTTTCCACTTTAGTCTTTTTCTTTTGCCCAGTGTCTTTCTTAATCAATGTATTTTGCTGAATCAAAAAGTTTTCCCGTGTGTTCATAAATGTTGCTGTAGATATAAAAAGTAAATCAGGAGAAGTGTCTTTGTATAGGACTTCTGCCTTTCCATGTTTGTTGAAAATCTTTTTCTTTCTCTCCGCTTCTCATCATTTCCTTTCTCTCCTATGTTCCTGACATCTCTACAGTCCATTTTATCCAATCTCTTTTCTTGTCATCAGATTTATTTTGTAGTCTTAAGGGATAAGTTGCTTTTTCCAATTCTTGTGAATTTTTTTCCACTAGGATTAAATCATGTTTCCTTGTTTTGTTAATTTCCATCTTTAAGTCTATATTCTCAATTCTATATCCATTTATCTGTTTTATCTGCTCCTTCTCTGTCGTTGTTTTCTGGGATTTTTTTGTTGTAGAGTTAACTTGGAAATAGATTGATTTATATTTTCAAAGTTGTTTTGGATTTCTTTGTGGTTTAAAGTCATTGTTGTTTGAATTAGTTGCAGTATATTATATATCTCCTCCTGTGAAGTATTTATGTTTTCTTGATATGTTCTTTCTACATGTCTCTGATCCATGATAGCCAATAATTTGAGTTTTCCTCTTCCTTTTTTTCCTGCAAATAGCTTTAGAGTCCCAATTAGACAGATATTTGTAATCCAAATAGTTCAAAAAAGATTTTTTTCCTGAAATTTATAATTCTCTCTTTGTCTACAGTCCAGATTATTGTATTTTTTTGGCACAGCTGTTCTTTGTTTTTAAAGCTTTGAAGGTCACAGACACAGATTAGCTTTTCCCAGGTTTTGCCAAGTCTTATATTAAAGTCATAGCTGTCATAGTCTTCATCTGCTACTAGGTGTCAGCAACTATTTGTTTTTCCATTTCCAAAATGAACAATTATCTTTAAAATAAGAGTCTTAACCATTCAAACAATTTTAGATTTATTCAGATTTAAGTTTTAGTTTCAGGTTTTATATTTATTTCACTTCCATATATTTTGATCCTTCATAAAAAGATTAATTCGCCGCTTCCGTTAGTATAAGGGTGGGACGGAAATCCCCCTCCTTCCCTTTCGGAGGTATTTTGCTTCTTGGGATCTTTTCCAGGAAATTAAATGTAATCTAGAAAAGAGAAGATCGAATTCCTCACCCAGTTTCAAGCACGCTGTTCACGGTTGTGCTGGTTAGTGCTTTTGGACTTCAGTTGCTAGTAGCTTGGGCTGGTCGATGCAATACGGCCAGCCTTTCTCCTGTTGGGTTAGAAGACTTTCCCCAAGTTGAACAGAATGGCCACCACTGTTCCAGAATCGCTGGAGCACCCTTCTTTCTTCGTCGCCTCTCTGGGGTGACTTAGACCCATTTAGGGTCCCCTGGCAGGACGAAATTAGCCATGGGGGTGCGGAGAATTTGCAAGCCCGCAACCTGTCGCTACTGTGCAAAACCAGAAGTCTCCAAAATATCCTTTTCCTGATAGCTCTTTTTCAGACACATAATTAATTTTAACAACTCTGATATAACAGGAAATAAAAATAAACCTTAGTAAACTATTCAATATGTCACTTTGGTTAATCTGCTTATCTTTTCTGCCTTAGATGGTCTCATGCTGCAGATGATCTTCAGAATATTTACGATAATTTGACAGGAGATGTTCTGGTATCAGCAGGGGTGATAGCTTACCTTGGTGCTTTTACTGCTGGATTTCGACAAGAATGTACTAAAGAGTGGAGCAAACTCTGTCAGGTAGTATTAGTTTACTGCTCTATTTCTAGAATATACATAGTTGTCTTCTAACAATGACTCTGTCAAAATAGATCATATATATCTTGTTATTAGCATGATGGCAATAATTTTAACATGCATTATGATTTTTAATACTATACATCATAATGGAAACAATAGTTAAATCCAGTGGTGGGATTCAAATATGTGAACAACCGGTACTCTGTATGAATGCCGCTTCCGGAAGTCCATTCTGGGCCTGGGCAACAAAAAATTAGTTACCGGTTCTGCCGAAGAGGTGTGAACCGGCTGAATCCCACCACTGGTTAAATCTGTATTTAAAATAGTATAGAAGAGTCTAAAAGTGAAATGCTTTTCTAAATCTTGCTTTAAGTATAGGAACTTTTCCTGGTACTGCCTATTAACCTTTCCTATGTAATTTCTCTTGACTCTTAAAATGAGAGTAATTCAATATGACCTATTTTAATACTATATGTACACATGTTTAATAATCATGAATATCAATGCAAGCTTTATCTGTGCCTACAGGTAAAAAATATTCCTTGTTCTGAAAGCTTCTCTCTAAGCAAGACCCTTGGTGATCCAATAAAAATTAGAGCCTGGAATATTGCAGGTCTTCCAACAGATCAGTTTTCCATAGATAACGGTGTGATTGTTGACAATTCTAGACGTTGGTAGGTAACTAGCATTATTTAAAATTAGGCTATTGAAGCAAAACTATTGATAGTTTTAAACCTCTGGTTATGTTTTCTTTCTGTTTTCTATGTGTATTGTTGAATATATATAGTTACATTCAAATATATACTTATCTATATAAAATTTTAACTATTCCTTCAGGATAGGGAGCAGTCTGATTTTTTTTCTTGGATGTAAAAAGATAAATGAGAGCTAGTTTGGTGTCGAGGTTAAATCACTAGCTGGAAATCAGGAGACTAGTTCTAGTCTTCTCTTAGGCATGAAGCCATTTGGTAACTTTGGACCAGTCATTCTCTCTGAACTACAGAGAGACATTTAAGCAGTTGCCAGGAGTCAAGACTAACTTGAGGGCATATTTACATATTCAAAACAATAGCTGCCTGAGGTAATAAATCTGCAGTACTAAGTAAATTTTTTAACTGTAATGAAACCGTACTATACTATTTAATATTATTTAAGTATATATAATAAAGTATAATCCTTGATTATTGATTCAGTGATATCAGAATCTATTATTTTGTAAAATTCATTGATTGTTGTTGGCACCTTTCTATCGATTTTCAAAGTCATTTCCTAGGACAAATGTTTATTATTAAACATTTTTAAAAAATAGTACTAAAACCAATTTGAGTATTTAAACTGAAATTATTAGAATTATTAATATTTGGTGCTATTTTGTAGGCCATTAATGATTGATCCCCAAGGTCAAGCAAATAAATGGATAAAACATTCCGAGAAAGAGAACAGACTGAGTGTCATAAAATTTACTGACTCAGACTACATGAGAACTCTAGAAAACTGCATTCAGTTTGGAACTCCTCTTTTGCTTGAAAATGTTGGAGAAGAGATAGATCCTTCCTTGGAACCTTTGCTACTTAGGCAAACTTTTAAACAAGGTACAAGAAATAATAAAAGCTATTAAAATTCAAAGGAAATGTTTACTGTTTTTTAAATAGTCCATTACACTGTTTAATGTGTTTCTTTTTATTCCTCAAATATTGCTGCCTAGTAACAGATGAAGGTAATACAGTTTTTTAGTACTGTTATTTTTATTTTATAATCAAATTTGCATGCATTGCAGATTTAAATCCAAGAACCTTAATCTGCTGTTATTTAATAAGAGCCATGTTGCACATATAATATTGATTAATAATTTCTTGTCTGTTTTTGCTTTCCAACATTCAGGCAAAGAGAGTTGGAAAATAAAAGCAGACGATATGTTTCCTTGTAAGGAAGATAGAATGTCCATTATAAGTAGGACTTTGATAGGTGCAGTTATTCTGGCTTCTATAGAATTCTTCCCTTCCATTCAGCTTTTATTGTTTCTTCAATTTGTCCAGTTTTTATATCAGGTTACAGAAAAGTCTGTGCTAAAAAGATATGAAATTATGGGCTAAGCATAGACTAGTAAGTATATAATCTGTTGGTTCCAAAGAGGCAGAAGAGCAGAGTCATTTCAATCAGAATAGCTCCCCTGTATGTAGGCATAAACTTTCAAAGAAATTGTATGCATACTGCTAAAGAGATGAAACCATTGGGTTTCTATACTAGGCTTCAACATTATTCAAAAGGCAGTAAAGTGAGTTTTAATAATGTGTGAATAAAAAAAAAGAAATTGGAGTTAAAATAACATTAACAGACATCTCTGATAACTCTAATTCTTAGCTTTAATGGTCCCCAATATTTGCCCTTTGAAATTGAACACATTTTACAAAATTTATTTTACAAAATTTATATGCCGCCCTTCTCCCCATGGGACTCAGGGCGGCTCACAGCATGTTAAAACAATATACAAAATTACCCCTTCTAAAAACCAATTAAAATCCAAATATTAGTGGCTGTGACTATTTAAAATCATTAAAAATTATCCCTATTTAAAATTCACCCTAGGTCAGGCCCGCTTGTTGAAAAAGC